TCAACAAGAATACTAATACTGTAAATTTAACTGCAATGGATGATAATCCGTCTTTACTTAAATATTCTTTGGGACTTTTAAAAAAAATTCTATTCCAGCATTATCTTTCTCAGTTCTCTATGGATTTGTGGTTTCATTATGATTTATTTGTCCTCGTTAATTCCTACGCAGTGACTCGACAGTGAAACTCACTTCAATGATCTGAACAGAGTCTGATAAAGCAGACTGAGCTGACCCATCACTTGAGATAGGGTTTTTCAGCTGGGCACAGTCCGTGTAGTTTCTCATTTTAAAGCAGAAGAATAAAGTGGAGACTCGATGGTATCAGAAAGTAGAACAAAGTGAAAGAGACAGCCTGTTGGGATTGGTGAGGGCCAAGTGAGGTTAGGTTTGGAAATTAGTTGTTAGGGCCCAGGGAAGTAGTCTGTCACAATGCCTGAAACATTTTGACATTTACAAATGTAAAGCTGTGTGAGAACAACTAGCTCTTTGGCTACAATTTTACTTTGCAAATAACTAAGTGCAAAATGTGATGTACATTTTTGGATATTTTAAAAAGTGTTCCATTATCACTGACATTGTTTAGTTGCGCATTCAAGTGACAATGTACCATATAAACCTTTTTCTATATTAGAGTATCACAGAAAAGTAATTTTATTTCAGTACATCAGTTAAACAAGTGAAGTACATTAAATATTTTAATCACACACAGACTGATGGTTCCTTTGATTCTGCTAAATATTATGATGATTTTCCACTTATGGCTAATGAAAACACATTTTGGATTAGAATTAGACCAATACAGAAATATTAATATTAATATATTTCAATTCAATAAAAAAAACATATAAAAATGTGCACCTAAAAAACCTAACTGTTTATAAATATAAAGGAGCGATTGCATTTCTTTCTGCAAAATACAGAGAGACGAACAGTTAAAGTAAGAAGCACCTCGTATTAAATTTCACATTTTTTTCCATACCTCACCACAATAAAAATGGGATAGATCATGGATGGTCAATGCAAGGTTTTAAAGAGGTATTGTGGGGGCCGTAAAGAAGACAGTGCACTCCCCATTAAGCAAAATGTCCTTTCAAGAATGCACAAACCATTAGTGATGAGATTATGGTGATTGATGACTTTGACAGCAGCACTTATGGATCCTGGATGCTGTGTGAAGAATTATGGTAGCAGCAGTACAGTCTTAATGAGGTGATGCCACCAAGTGGGTCTTTAGTCATGTATTCTGGTAGAATTTGGAGAGGATATGTTTTTTGTTTGCTCCTGGATGCTCTAAATTGCAGATTTATGTGTAATGTTGTATAAGAGTGTCTAATAAACCAATGATAACATTGAGGTAGAGGAGGAAAAGGATATGAGGCAGAAACTAAAAGGTGCAGCAATCTCTGCACCTTTTAGGAGGGATTCTGCTGATGACTAAAAGAACTAAGAGAGCAGTCAGGTTATGCTTGCTGTCATACTGTGATGAGGTTTTCCAGAGTAGCTTGAATCCAGCCAGGACCAATTTTGGAAAGGATAGGGCCTTCCTAATCCTACCTAATACTGGATTTATTCAAGTGTTGTGACACTTTTAACTGTTTAAAAGAAAATATTTCCAATTATTTTTCCTATTTATTGTTTGCACTGTACCTAGCTTCAAAATTTGCTAAAAAAAATAAAAATAAAAAATTCAGCTCAAAGGAAAAAACAAATTGACTCAAGTAATATGTGGATATGCAGTTTATAAAGGTTAGTTCTAATAGAGTTTCAAGAAGTTTTTTCATCCTACCTTATAAGTAAGATCTTAAGAAGATGAATTAATACGAATTTGATGTAAGATATCTTCATTAGACGTTTTAGCAGTTTGTCACTCTTGTGCTGTTAGACTCTTACATGCTTTATAATTTTAAAGAAAACTAGAGAAAAATGCTAAATATAATTGATAAACTTTTTGCAACCTGCTTTCAAATATATTAATGTCAGGATCTGGTTCTAAGACCAGTGCATGTTATAGTTCAACATCCTCTATCTGCAAGCTGAGTTCTGATAAGGATCTTGCCAGTTAATTGCATAAAAAAGATTGCCAGAAAAAGCCATATCGAAAGATAAACTGATACTTTTAATGGACCCCAATCAATCAAGTGAGCAGCAAGAAGATGTGCAAATTACATGCATCAGCAACAAATGAATGTTTCCTCAGAGCTAATCTACCACAAACAGAGAGATTCAGTTTATAATGGGAGCTATTAGTCTGCAAGCAACCTTGACAAATTATTTGTGTAAACAATTTGCGTTCTTTTTTTTGTTCTATCTTGTGCAAAGAGATCATTAATCTCAATTGTGACCCGAAACCTGCTTTTAATGAGTATTGGAGCCTAGTTGTTTGAGGATTCGCAACAAAATAAAGTAACATTTCTAGGAATTGTTTTAAAATATATATATACATTGACATTAAGGTCATGAAGATCTTCCCTCCTTTCTCCATTTTCTTGTACTGTGGAAAATTTGTGGACACAAGTTGTCCCCAAATATTTCTCTCCTCATCATAAGACTTATGGTTTTAAAAATGTACCAGTATGATACAGCATTTAAACGGTGTCAGTGGGAACCTAAACAATGTATGTAAGTAAAATTATTAATGCAATCTTTCCATATCCCTCTCTACTGTGTCTCCTCAAACAACTTGTCATTCAGAGGCTGGTATTTATGTACAAACTGTGGTTAACAGATGGAGACATTTGCCATGAAAGCTGGTGTCTTCCCATATGGTCACATGAGAACGCTCAGAAACACGAAGCACACAATTACACAGCTGTCTGCCAATGTCGCTGACAATGTCTACTTTATATAAAGTTGTCACATGACAACCAGACAGGTTTTTGGTGAGACAACAGTAGATATTTATAACTCCTCAAAGGGAGATGTTTATGAATATAACTTTTGAAAATTACATTGTGTTTTCTGTCACAAATATATTTTATAAAAGCTTATTTTGTTTGTGGTTTTAACATGATGTATGAATATTTATGCAAAATAAACATATAAGTTACATGTATATTTAACAGAAGATGTAAAATATACAGAGTATGATATGCTCCCAGCAAAACTGATCAAATACATCTGAACTTACATGTTTATCTTCTGATAGTGATCAGTTCTCAATACTGTTTTCTGATGTTGATCGATGGTTCTAACCTTATATCTGCTTCAAACCTGCTGACCTTACTAATCATATCACAGCACAAATGAAAAAAACCTTTTGAACAAAAAGGCCTTAGCCGGACAGCCGGCTGCTAATGCACAAGTAGCCTGTTCCCTCTTCCCTGAGTCATTCACGCCTGGTTCCAAGTGCTAATCTAGTTACATTCTCACTTAAATCCCGATAAACAAACCTAACTGAATCAAAGGTGATCCTGGGGGCCGGTCATAAAAAAACAAAACAAACAAAAAAAACCTGAAACATACAAAAAGCCTTTTAAACTACTCCTGATAAGGTTATAAAAAGTGAAACACCTGGCAGTTTTAGTTTTGAAGAGGAAATCAAACATAAAGCATTCATTGTATTATGTTTGCATAGCCACACTGCCTCAGAGCCGAGGTTGATTCGCTGCTGAAAGGTTTACATTACATTTCCAAAACAGTGACCAGCAAGAGCGTGGAAGCACACTGACAATAACTGAAGCAATAAATTGTCAAACCTAATCAATCATGTTTCTTCAGTTCTTCTCCTTTTAACTTAAGTTTTGTTCAGATAAGCCTGAAACTTTCCCATCCATGTAAAGATTTTGCATATCTGCTGCAGGAAATGATGAGTCCTCCATCATGTTTTAAAAAAAACTGGAAATGAACTGCTTGTCCTCTACTGGGGGAAAAATTAGTATGAAGTAAAATAGCTGACATAACTTTGTTTCTGTCATATTTTCAGTTTTTTAAAATTAATCTTGTGATCCTCTGAGGGTTTACTGGCCCATTTTAAAGAAGAAAAAAAAAATCAAGACAGCAGGTGCATGTGTCTTCATAACGCATACTCATAGTTTCCTTTATACGGTTTTGCTTTAATCACACCAGGCTTCTGGCAAACAAATACAAATACATAAGCATCAGGGGCCTTCACATAGACTGTTTTAGCACAATCATACAACTTAGTAGGCATGTGGATCAGCTTACTACAGCTTTAAGTCAAAATTTGCACTTCTGGTATTTGCCAAATGATTGCAGTGTCGAATACCAAATGCAGATTTATAAACCTTTGAATATTTACTTTGTTTGGGGGAAAAACATGCAGTTTTAATGCTCACAGCTTTATAACTAACTATATGACTAAATTTTAGGTTCTAAAGTCCAAAAATCTGTGTCATGGCCATTTTGATTTTTAAGTGCTGCCATTTTTAAGGAACCAAAATAACAATGGGTAAAATGTTAAAATTAAAATCACTGCATAAAATAAACATTGCAATATGTTTAATATATATATATTTTTTCTTTAGAAAGTCAATCATGAGGAAAACTGCATTTCCTCTTTTAACACATTTTCAGACCTGGGCAGCAATAAAAGAAAATTTTAAACTTTAGTCGAGTTTTCCTGGGGGCCGGTCTAGACAGGAGTCTGGCTCAATGTTTGAGATGTTTTCAGGCTGTGTAGGAAGCCTGGAAAACACACTACATATAATTAGGAACTTTAAGATTCTTCAATACTTGATCAAATCAACTTAATTTTGTTTCAAGTTTTACTTTGACGATGCCTCTTTATGCATTAGCCGTGTGAAATAAGCTGTAAAACAACAAATCTTAAATAACTTGAGAATTTTTCTAAACACAAAACCTACAAATTGCAGAAAATGCATGAGAGTTCAGTTTTCATTTTGGTCAGCAGGTGGCACTAAAATGTCCTTTTAATTTAAAGCATTAACGCGTTGTATTTTCAGGGAAAAATAAATGAATCTTTCAAATCAATAACACACAGAGAAGCTTTGCATGATGTACCTAGACAGGAGTCTGGCTCAATGTTTGAGATGTTTTCAGTTTATTGTTCAGGTAATATCTGTGCAAGGATAAGAATTACAAAAATCTACACATTACACATAGTACATATATACTGTATATATCCTGTTCCTATGATACAATGTTATATTTACAAGCAATATTTAGCAGTAGGAGTTAAGTCATCCCATCGCATGTACCTTTTATACTTGAAAGAGATGTTGATCGACCCTCTGGAGGAGGAAGTAACACATATCAAGAGAAAGCAACAGTAACAGCCTCCAAAGACCCAATACAACCTGGACAAGCTCGTTTCTAGTGCAGCTTCAGGGTGGAGACACAGAACCTACAAACAGCTCAGCTCCATGTAGTTCATTAGCGCTTCAGTCAACTGAATTGTGCAAGTTTCTTATTTGTTTTAGAGGTAACACAGCTAATAATGTGGTAAAAAGAGATGAGGAAATTGTTTATTGAATCAAAGTAAACTTTACTTCATCCTTTATGTTACAGAAATATCATGAAAGCTAGAATGTAAACGGTTCATGTCTTGTGCACCATTGTAACTTGGTCTATACTGCCACCCTCTGGACAGTTCTGAAATTGACAGATGAAGAATAAAGTAAAGATGAGATGATAAATTTTGTCTTCTTAAAAAAAAAAAAAAAGAAGCATACAAAACTCACTACAATGTGCACTACAAAAGTAATTTTAACCCCCAGAAAAGTTTTTTTGCCACACTGCAACCACAAATTTGTCTAATTAGTTGGGATATGATATAAGTAACCAACACGGAAAAGTGTGTATTTTTCTATTCTGTTCCCTTTACTCTGATATCCCAAAATAATATCCAGTGTAAAAAACAACTTTCAGAATCACCAATTTTGAAAATTGCAATTGTTTATACTCAATATATCTTTACGTGAAAGAATGCTCCATTCAAAGTATTGCTAGAAATTCATTTAATGTATAGCAAACTCAAAAACTTTAACTTTACCGTTCATATAGCCTCAGATGAAGTGATTGAGTTGAGTGCTTTCCAAAGAAAGAATGTTCAAAGAAAGCACAGACTTATAGAAAATGACTTGAAGCTAAAGTGATTTAACTTCAAGTCAACTTTATGTAACACTTTTCATCCTTTTATTTGTATACAAGTCTGAAAAACATGTATACGTTTCCTTCCACTTTATAATAAAGCATAACTTTGTGTTGGTTTATTCAAAAACATAAAAATAAAAAAAAAAATCTCCCCAATAATTACACAACGTTGTGGTTTGTGGTTGTAACATGAAGATGTGGAAAAAGTACGAGGGGTTTGAAAGCTTTTGCAAAATACTGTGTTTATCAAATATCAGGATTTTTTTAAAAAATGGCACAATGAGGTGGATGAATGGTATTGATGCTGCTGATTCTCATACTGTAAACTAAAAGCACCGGTTGGGATCACAACAGTGCGTGGAGCCATTTTGTTCCATTTGTGCTTTAGATGGCTGTCAGTGCCAGCCAAGTCCTTGTGCTGCCATGAGTTTCACCAGGATCTGCAGCATTTCCCAGATTTTTCAAAATTGTAACAAATATATCTGAATGTGTATAATTTCCAAATGCTATATGCTTTGAAGCTGTTGTCAAGGCAAATGCGACAGGTTTAATTCCCACAGAACCAACATTCTGTGTTCATCAGAAGAACTGCACCTTGAGGCAGCGGATATCGTCCTTCAGTCATGTTATCTTCCAATATTGTTCCAAAGTGGGACAGTTTTCTCAACATTAACCTCTCTCCATCAACATAAGTGGTTCTGAAGGAACTATTCTCACACAAGACCCCCAGCTCAGTCTGGATGTCTACATGGTAAGTGGTGTAGTATTCCCGTAAATGTTTCATGGTAATGGAGCAGGAAACCAGACACAAAGCACAAGCTCACAGCATCTTCGTAATCTAATATTGTTTCAGCGAGACGTTTCATATCTCAGTAAACAGAAATATTCTCCAGTGCATCTCTTTACTCCAGCTTTGTATGAGTCTATTAAGTACATTTTATAGTTTTAATTCCTATTTCTGTGTAGTATAATCACTGTTAAACAGTACAGTCACTTGCTTCCAGGCGGTGTAAGCAGAAACCAGAAGCAGCAATCGTACCTCGTACAAGATTAGTGGGGAAATATTTGGACAAAATGGATGTTTGTTATTGATGTAAAGACGACCTGGAGGGCCGTGCTGATATCGTTCATTATCCACATTGTTCTTGACAGCTGGTAGATTGGAGCTACATGTTACCCTGTTTGTCGGAGGATGAAGAGGATGTGGACGGCGATGGGGAGGGTGCTTTAGGAAACGCCCTTTCAGTGGGGGTGATGCCTGGACTGCCCAGACCAGAAGAGCTGGAGCTGCTGGAGCGGTGCGGTCCCTGGCCAGGTCCGATCACTGGAGCTGGTCGCACAGGCCTGACCGGCGGGGGCCTTAGAGGAGCACTCGGTCTGCGTGACGACAGAGCTGGTTTGAAAGTGGTCATGGTCTCAGAGGAGGAGCTGCTGCTGCTTCGTCGCTGGGCTGCATCTGGGTCCCTGATCACCATGGTGTGCAGGGGGCTGGCAGACATTTCCTGGGCAGGGCCAGGGTGCTTGAGGGGCTCCAGGGTGTCCAGGACAACATCAGGGGCGTGTTTGGCTACATTCTGCCGCTCGAGCTCTCGCAATTCATGCAGAGCTGTATTCATGGTTTTCTCTATGTCCTAACAAAGAAAAGAAGAAACTTTGTTTATTTTTATGAAAATCAATGAACCAGAAAAGAAGTAATTAAATTAAAATTGTATTTCTAAAGAGGGGTGTTGTGCATTTACATTTCACATGAAAAACAGCTTTACATGAGATTTCTCATAACTTGGATTATCCAGTTAAGCATTTCTCAGAAGCCTCTAAGGATTACATGTGCAATACACTTAACAACACAACAACAAAAAAAAAAATGTGAATTGACTCAACTGCACTTCGATAACTTGTTGCAGCCCTCACCTCCGCGAGCGCCTCGGCCTCCAGAGCTTTATGGTCCCCTAAACTGGCGTGCCGTGTCGTGCTCGGTGATGATCGTTGAGAGTGACTCTCAACAAATGCTTTCCTGTCGGGGTGGTTGATGGAGCCTGAGCTGCCGAACGTGGTCAGGCGGCGCTTCTCCGGGCTGTCGGCATGGGCCCGGCTGACGGCTATCTTGTGCGGGCTGCAGGGGCGCGCCATTACCCTGGGAGGCTGGTCAGCAGCCCTGGTGGGGCTGAGGTTGTCGGCACCGTTGTTCCTGTGGCGGGGAACTGCGGCTCCGTCTGATCGCACTCTTACCCTGACACAATGGGATTACAAGGAGAGAAATTAACTTCTTTGCATTATAAGGAATGAATTTTTCCATTTATCATACATTATTTGTTCATGGTATTTTACTAAGAGTTCCCATAAATCTTTCATATAAAAACCCCAGCCTTTCACAAAGATGCAGGTTTGCAGGACTATCAGACCAATTTGTTCATTTTATTATTTATTATACAGTAAAGCCCACTATAAAGTTGTGACAAATACTTCTTAAGTGGGCTGGCTTTAAGTGACCTGAGGGGAAAAAAACAAAGAAGGAAGAATAGACAGAATGAAGGAAATGGAAATAAGAGCGACACTACAAAGATGGAGGAAAAGGATGAAAAGAAAATAGCGCAATGACCAAAGAAGGAAGGAAAAGACACAAGGAAAAACAGCATAAGAAAGAACAAAAGCTTATGATGATGGAAAGGTACAATGAAGAAAAGAATGAGAAAAAAGGAATGATTGAAGGAATGTAACAACATTAAAACAATAGAGATAAGTCTGGAGCACAAATACTCCTCATCTCTGACTTAGTTTTTTTTAAGATCCTGAAAATACTAAAATCAAATTTCATACTTTTCCAGAAAGTGGAGGTACCTCATCTAATAAACCTAACCTTCCTAACGCAGGTCCAAAACGGTTCTCAGCAGCCTGGTCACAGGGAGACTGGCGCTCATTTCTTGATGACGTCCTGTCATCATAGTGAGATCCACTGCTGGTCTCATTTTCTGTCCTCTGAATGCTGTCTGAGAAAGCATCATCCCTGCGAAGTGAGTAATAAATCTTTATGATTATGTTCTGTTTTAGTGAAGTTTTCACATTGCTTATTAAATTTTAAAGGGCAACTGGGTCTTGGAAAAACCTAGAGAACTCATAATAATCCAACATAAGCATTTAATCTTCAAAGTGAGTTTATATTTCCACAATGCAAATGAACTGATCATGTACACAACCTTCAATTTGCACAATAATGTAGCTTTGATTAAGTTATATGTTAGGAGATAAAGCTTTGGTTTTCAAGGAAAAATGGCTGGAAGTGAAAGAAACCGTATTTGAACACTGGCTTGTCAAATTATACATTCTTCCTGCTGACATTTTTGGAACTAAAATTTGAAAAGAAGTAAGAAATGCAGAGAGACAGAGATGGTTCTTATGCAAAACTTCTCTATCAAAAAAAAGTTTGCAAACCTGAATCTCCAAAAAATAAAACTTCACCACAAATAAAACTGCTACAGGTGTTGATCTGTGCATGTCCATCTCAATAAATGAATCCAATCCAAACCTTTTATTTGTTCCTTGTCCACACTGCCAAACGCTACAATGCCTGCTTTTATGACCATGTTATCAATGCGATTCACTGAATTAAACCTCTATAAGGTATTTTCAACAGCAACATAAGAGACACCAGAACCAACAATGCATATGCGTGAAAGGCTGCTATTAAAACAACCAGGGAGTTATTATTCAGCAGATGTCCATGCTCCCATGCTAAGAGTGGGCAAAGTAGAATGCAATATATTCATTCAATAAATAAAAACATTAATCTTATGCAACATTCTGTGGGTTTTCTTTAGCAGCAGGCTATAAGAATCAAAATTTATATAGAAAACCCTCCACTTGAATAATAACTGTTTCATTTATTATAAAATGTGTTTTTCCATGATGATCATTTATTTAGATGCACCTGAATGTGGTCATTTTTTTTTCAGCTCATCCTTTTACACCATAAAATCAATAAATCAAGCTTACATGTCTTGCACTACAATGTATTGGTGCGGTATCAGCCCATCCACACCGTTGTGCCGGCCTTCCCACCAATCCTCAGACGCTCTCATGTACAGCAGCAGAGACGCCCTTCTTGAAGGACAGCTCCCTCGAACTTCGCCCCACGTAGTCAAACTTGGCAATGGCCTCAATTGGCTCAAACTCTGCAGGAGTCAACATATAAAAGAGTTCTATATATAAAACAATTATTTTCATTTTTTTTCACAGCAAGCTGGAAATGCCACAGCTGGGATCTTGACAGTGTATCGATTGCGCCTGTATCTGACCTTCATCACTTGTGTTTGGCCCGGTCCCGTTGTCGATCTCATCAAGAGCTCCTGGCTCACTGTGAGGGCTTTCACTACACAAACAAAAAGAAATGCAAAAAATCAGAGAAAAAAAAATCCCACACGTGTAAGAAATACATTATTCGAAGCTTTTAGGGCTTTGATAATTAGATCTCAAGCAGATATTTTCCTTTAGAATAAACTATAGTGAAATCTGATCTGCAGATTTAAGCTACATTAAATCTGCAGATCAGATTTAATGATCAGATTTAATTTGAAATGTAAATTCAACAAATTTCTCTGACACATAACTAAATGTTAGTTTTTCTGTCTTTAAATTAAGATCAGATTTGAATTCACAACTTGTTCAAATTTTCACTTTTCAAACAAAGAATTAGATCTGGTGTCCTTGAGAATCTAATGTTTAACCTACTGCACATATTGAGCTTTACGATGCTCTGGTTCTGTTCACCTACCAGTACTCTTCACCTCCTGCCATGCATTTTTCATAGACTGGTCCTTCTAACTCCCGCTGGCTTGGAAAGATGGCCTCGTGGTGGATAATGATCGTCTTGATGACCTCATTAACGTGTGCTTGACAAGCCACGGGGTCCTGGTCATCAGGTATGGGCATCAGCGTGGGGCCGAAGCAGATAGCCAGATTGTAGGGGTCCATCATGTTCTCGTCGCTATATTGGGAAAGACTTGGAAGAGATGGCAGCATGAAGTAAAACAGTAACAATAACGCTTATTTTAGCTGCTGCTATGAAGGAACTTACTGATTAAGAAAAGCAAACAGGTATCTCATGACAATGATCACAGGCCGCTGTAGGGTCACAATTATCTGCTGGAGATGATGAGCTCTTTCACCACCAGAATCAAGTTCTGGGGAAAATAGATAAATAAACAGACCGAATATGAAACAATTTTAATGGCCAAATTTTCTGATTGTTTCTTCTGTGATGTGACTAACTGGTGGTGGAGATGAAGTCGAGGAAACGTTCTTTGGGGAAAAGCGGGTTTTCCAGCCCTCGGAAGTAGAGCTTGAGGACGCCTGCCACAGAGTTGATGTCATGATCCGTCTGATCGTCCACTAGTGGATCTTCTCCTGCAGATGAACCAAACTCTTAATCCTCTATTTATCCATTCATTGGAGCCACTTTCATCTAATAGGGCCCAGATGCAATCTTATATGTACTTCAAATTAGAGCACCATAATGCAATTATTATCGCTCATTTGTTATTATTTCAGGATGCTATGTTTTATGCATTAGGTGGTTTACATGTCCATTACAGTGCACCAAGCGACTTGCAGCCCTCTTAATTGCACTTTAGAGCCCTGTGAGAGTTATAGTGGCTTTTCAGGTGGGCAAAACGTAATTTAAAATCAATCAAGGGGAAATATAGAGGGGGACTAACCTCTTTCAAATGCATTCTTAATGTCATTGACTTCGACCTGAGATCCTGGAACCCGAAATATGCCTTGTTGCTGAAGACCTGTGGATGGATAAAACAACCTTGGTCAAAAAACAAACAATCAATTTAATTTTTTTCCCCAAAATATTTTATGAGGTTTTTATGATCACCTTCACGAGAAATTAAAACATAAATTATTGTATCCACCTACTCAGGTAAAGCTTAAACACCTTTGAGCTCATAATATATTTGGGTAGAGGTGGCATAGTGAACACACTTCAAGTGAATGCACATCTATTTCATAAAATGCAAAAAAAGATGGAAAATTAAAGTATGGCTTTTGCAGAAACTGCACTTTAATCTCTTTCTGATGGAGAGAACTTGAAACTTACCGTACAGATTGATGTATCGAATGCAGCTCTCAACCACCACTGGTATAGGCTGCCCTGAATCCTACATGAAGAAATACATCATAATCACTGGAGGCATGCAAACAACAGTAACAGGTGATCAATTAATGTGGAGGAACTCTAAAAAATCTTAATAATTTATGATATTTGTAGGATATTATAATCATTAATAGCTAAATTAATTTCAAATTAAATAACTCGTGGTAAGTGTATTATATATACAGAATATATCTGAACCAGAATATGTACCAACATACAGCATTTTAAAATAAAAGAACATTTTTACAAAAACAGGAAAAGAATGCAGAGAAATGTCGGCAAGCAAACAAAACCCACAGTGACGACCCCACCCTGCTTGAAGACAAAGTACCTGACTCCTGGCACGGACATTTCTTCTTCCCCTGGGCAGAGAGCAGTAAGGCACGGAGAGACAAAGCAGGAGAAGGAACAACAACCACAAAAGATTAGAAAGAGGCAGAGAGACAGATCTTAACAGAGGCCTGGCCTGAGAGAGCAGCCAAAGCTTCAGCGCCTTGTGGGGTGAGAGACAGGAGGACGGGGCCTGAGGGAGGAGGGTGAGAAAGGGGAAGTTGCCGTCGCAGAGCACTGGCAGGGCTCCTACAAATTTTGCATTTCAAATTTGTACACTTATTCAGACTAATTTTCTAGAAACATGTTTTGGCAGGTCCTCTGACAACAAAACACCAATAAATCCTGATTGGTGGATTAATTTCCATCAACCAGGAAACACAGCAGTGAAACTGACAAAGGGCTATTGTGTTGCTTTTTGGACATCTGGACCAATTAGGGGCAGTAAAAATGCATTTTGAATGTAAGAATCTACACTACAATATCCTAAATCGAAACAAAGAGAACGAATGTAAATCAATATAGCAATACCCTGGTTTTCTCAACATTCAGATTTGTATCTTTTAAAAATCTTATGTTTTACATAAAACAATAAAATATTATGTCTGGAATATGTGATTTTCTTTAAACCTAATTTTTACTTTCCATACTTGTCCACATTTTCAAAATTCTACCATAAAATTTCAGACCTTTCAAGAATAAGCAGCAGAAACCTTGCATTGGGTTCGGATACATGCCTGTTAGAGAGAGCTGTTGGTTCGAATTTTGTCTATTTAAGGACTCAATCAGTTTTATAAAAGTGTTCAAGCAAATACTATAATTCTTCATATTTGTTATTGTTTGAACTTTGCATATTTACTTTATCTAAGAAAGAACCAGCATATATGTGGTTGAAATGTGTTTTTGATAAATTTAGTAGTTGATTAAGCAAGGATTTCATATTGATGCTGTTGTTGTGGGACGCTGCTGCAGCCGCCAAGAAAATATGCCCATGTGTTTATTAGCATAGCCAACTGGCCTGCATAAAGCCAAATTAATTAGGTGTCTGCTAGCTGGAGAATCACAAGACCAAGAATATAAAACAACTCGTCTCCACATCACATTTTTAACTGCTTTAAGACCAAAGACAATGCATTGAGCAAGAGGAAAGTGCATGAGCGAAACAACGTTTGAATAAGAGAGTGGTCACAAGCAAAAAGATCCCCTCCTCCCTACCACCACCACCACCAAAGGGCAGCCAATGGGACAGCTGAGCTCATGGAGAAACAAAGGGCACAGATGGGCTGATACCTGAATGAAGGCCTCCATATTGCCGTTAAACAGCTTACGGTTAAAAATGGAACGAGGTCTACACTTCCGCATTCTCTGGGGTTTAGGGGGAAGAGTGGGGGGCCTGGGGAGATGGTAGGGATTATAGCATTGAATGATAATAATAAAAATACATCATGCATGTAAAAGTACCACCATATTTTCTAAAACATTTTTCATATCAGATGTTTAAATACATCCACAGGAGCTTAAGCAGAAATTTGCAGATTAAAATGAATATAATTAATTATTTACAACTTTATTATAATGAAAATAAAACAACCGTTTACACTTCAAGCACTTGCACTAAACTGAGAAGTATTGGAACTGCAGAGACTGTAATTCAGTAACTTTACAAATAATCGTGTGACGGTAAATTATGACAATACTGACGTTTCAGTTGCTTTCATCTGCTATTCTGAGAATAGAAAGATTGCTCATACTATTTCAATAAAGATATTGATGGTGGAGGAGTGAAGATGCTCTCAACATGTCAAACATGGTGGTGGTATCATCGTGCTCTGAGTTGTTTTGCTTACAGTGCAACAATGAATGACGCACAAATTTAATGAAATAGTGGAGAATGTGGACTACTCCAAGATGGTCGGTATTTTCTTAAACCTTCGACTAAAGAAGTTTGGACCAGAACTCTTCTATGCATTTTAAGTGGGCAATGATGCATGGAAACTGCATGTGGAGTCACCATGGCAACATTATGCAACTTGAATAAGTGTAGCTTGATTCACAAGATGCTTTTGTGCTTTTTATCAACACGCAGCATGTTTTTGCGGAGACACTTTGTAAATTCTAGGTTTTTAAAAGCTATTCTTTTTAAAATGCAAATATGCTTCACTAAGAAACTTAGATACATTTTGACATATTTTTCACATTTTACCCTGCTGCTAAGAAAAAGAACCATTGGTTTCTTTTTTTCCCCTAGTTATCAAAATCTGGCAAAGTGTATCCTGACGGTTTCACATTAAAGTTTGATCATGTGAATAACAGTAGCAAATACTAAAGAAATTTAGAAAATAAGCCATAATCATTTCTAAAAAATGCGAGCTGTGATCAGTTTTTCTTCCTTTTGATGGAAACTTAGAACATTATTCCTACTCAATGGCACTGCATAGTTATGTCTGTTTAGTATCTTTTATCATGTGCCTTCGTAAGAAGACCTACAGTAAATAAAATGTTCATATTATTATTACCCATTTGCTACTCATTTTAGTTTTTCATTTATGTCTGAGCGCAAAAATCTTTTCATACTTCAACAATTCCAGAGACAAAAACATTTCAAACTATGAGTTAATGTTGGCATTATTTCCATGCAAATGATGAGTGTTTGCAAGTTGTCATCTTTAGAAAAGTTATCCGCTGAAGGCTTTGGTGTTCTTCATGCCAAGAAACCAAAGCAAAAGAACATGACACATCGTGGTTTTAGTAGCAGCTTGAGGTTTTCTGTCTTTTTGCTTCTGTTGCATGCACAGATACAGTAAACTAACAGGATGTTTAGTGTTGCCTAAACCTGCAGCACACAGTCTCACGACAGAGACATTAATACTTTTCAATCAACATACAGAAGCATCCCTGAAATATCAACTAGTTTTTTTTTTTAATAAAGACTATTTAGATGTCACAGTGGATTGATAGAATGCTCATCTTACTAAAACTTGTTCACACCATCACACTGCAGCAACAGATGTCAACATAGTTGTGGGGGTTTTGTGACAGACCACAGTCGTGCTGTGAAGTGGAAAATAAATGTGCCATTTTCAATTGTACGTAAAGATTAAGATCTAAAAAGTGTGCCATGCATTTCACTTCCCCAATTACAGACTTCATATTGCAAGCTTTCACTGCATTTACATCTGCAAGTTTTTTCATGTTTCTTTCTACTAGTTTAAACATCAAGACACTTGAAAATGTTACTTATTCTCTTTGTAAAGTAGTTTGAGCTCAGTCGGATTGCTTGGAGAGTGTATGTGCAAATCAATTTTCAACTCCTGACACAAATCCTCATTTTAGTTTACGTCTGAACTTTGACTGGGTTATTATCACATCAATTTGCTTTGATCTAAACAATTTCATCATAGCTCCTCATTTGGTGAAGAAAACAATCTCCACAGCATCATGAATTCACCCCCATATTTTAAACGTAGACTACAGAGAATTTGTCTTCATGAAAATGTTTTGTTTTCATATGACAAAAGATGTAAGCTCAAAGGGTATGAATACTTATACAAGACACTGAAGAATTAGTTTATAAAGTAAATAAAATATTAAGTGGGTTTCATAAAGCGTATCATAAGTTAAAACTAAAGCCACATTGCATTTATAGTTTTGTACATTGTACACTGGCATGCCTCTTGGTCAGGTCTCCCTTGGAAAAGAGATTTTATTTCAACCAATTTCCCAATAAGATAATGGTTAAATAAGTAAAAACAATTATTTAGATCATTTTAAACTATTTTAATAATCATTTTTGTCTCATTAAATTTGCTCAGTCAAGTACAAAGTGTTTTTTTTTTTTTTACAAAAAACAACTAGGAGGATGTTTAACAAGACTTAAAAATCTCAAGAATCCCTTTATTCTTACACTTTGGTCTCATTTTAGCTAAAGTTAGAGACACAGGAAGGATTTTACACATCAGCTCCTACTTCATTCACCTTCTTGCCACAGAACATCTTACCTTGTTGTTCCATATTCAGCCCTCTCCCCTAAAAGAGAAGGAAGCGGAGAAAAAGAGGCCAACTTAGAATCAGCTAGTTCACAGTCACAGCAGTTAGTGGTATGGTTGAGTTCAGGCTGATTATACAAGGCTGGCAGATGGAGACAGAAAGGGGGTGTTATAAAGAAAAAGGGGGCATCTATTCAGCCAAACTGAATGGGGTGAGCGCCATAGCTGCATTTGACTCGCTGCCAGACAGCGGTCATTCAGCGGTCGGCCCCAGAAGGGGATGGCCTGTCTACTCTCTCCATCCGCAAACTGGGAAATGTAACCAGGGGCAACTGGAGAGGCAGGCTGAGGGAGCTGATTTGCACAGTTGGATGATTTCATAAATCCGTAGCGCATTGACTTTAAGGACTTTGAGAAAACATACGAATTTATTGGAATGTGAAAAAGCTAGAAGATCACAACAATGAATGTCTCTCAAGCACATTTTTTTTTATCTTCACTCAAACCAAGACATGTTAACTGATAGGATTTGGGAACAATGGATATAAATCTAAGTTTCTTATGTATTATTTTGACATATATTTAGCACCTTGAGCCAAAAGATTAATTTCCAGTAAATCTTGTTTAAATCTCTGTTTAACAAACTAAATAGTATCTCACATCTATGACCTTCTTTTTAACGTTTTGTGTATGTTTGAACTAAGAATGAAACAGTTGATGCATTGGTTTCGATAAGGACATGTATGTATGCAAAAAACTTGCCTAATGTCACAGAAATGGGGATATATAGTAGGAGGAATGCTACCAGCTGTACCATGGCAGCATTATGGCTTTCTGCTAAAAGGAAAGCAGCGAGAACAGATTCAGGCAGGATACCAGAAGCAATTAAGAGAATATTCATATTGTTGTCTGGATATATGAAGGGGAGCATCCAAGCCTGGACAAGCTAGGTTGATTGTGCAAGATGAGTTGAGCCCTTTGTAGATGCTCAGTGAAGAAAAATAACTTCCTCTGGTGGATCTATGTTTTTGGGACTTCATTATTGTTTTAATTAAGTATAATTAATTAAGTATAGTATGTGGTCTCCTGGAGTGATGGTGGAATTTAAAGCATGAATTTTGTCTTTTTTGTCATAAGTCTAACAGGAATGGGCTAAGGATGATTACTGGGCTTTGTCGTTTATCACAACAAATAGAAACGATTGTTTACAAACTTATTGGATGACGTAGATGTTAGTCAGTGCATTTTTGAACACACCACACCTTTTTCCATTAATATGCAGGTGGGTGAGTGTGATTCAGGAAATGCGGTGCAGATGTTTTCAATATTTAAAGAATCAGTCATAATCAGTCATCCACACCTACATCAATTATCACCCAATCCCACAGGATAATAAGCACTCTGGGATGGCAGACTATTGCCATAGTCATTTGTTTTTCTGTGTATAACTTTAGATCTTACCTCTCTACAAATGTCCAGCACAAAAAAAGGTTTTTATGTTCTCACCTTCTCCTAGTGTCTGCTTCAGAAGATCATGCTTAGCTTGCAGTTTAACAATGAGATTGCTGCCGTTCAAGTATTCTTTGTATTTCTGCAGTTCAAAGAAAAAAATAATATAGTATCATAGATATTTTTTAAACAACCTTTGGTCTGCATGCTTGTGTATTTTCTGCAGTCATCTGTTAACTCACTGTGAAGTAGAAGCCCTCAGTCTCTTGCTGATTGGCTCGCCTTTTGGTGATGTTTGCCTTGCTCATGTAGGAGTCAGAGGAGGCCGATTTGACAGACTCTGTGGATTGGCTGTGCTGGAAGGCCTCTGATACATCAAAGTCCTCCACAGTTAGCATGTCCTGGAGGGTCTGCATGGTGGCATCAAGAGTCTTCTTAACCTGATAAAAGACATCCAAGCACATCATAGTACCCAGTCCCTCTTTCATATGCATTTTATGTGGAAAAACCAAGTGATTTATGTAGATTGAATACTAAAATACTGTACCTAAATCTAGTAAATTTCAAAATGCATATCCTAGAAATTAGATTTTGTTCTCCTCACTGGCCTTCAACTGCCTGCTGTCGATATATACTTTCTGAGAAGGAGTGATTGATGCATAATCAATGACTCAATTTAATCAAATGGGTTTCCTTGGATGACAAAAAACCTCCTACAAGTTTAATAATAAAATAAATATGACTGCCTTGTTTAATAAGGATGATTGAATTGAAATGTATGCATCTGACTTTCAATATGGCTCGTGTATAAATTGGAAGCTTTTTTTGTCTGCTTTTTTTGAATTGGTACTAAATAATAATAAATTGATTCATCTTTAGCAAACATACCTTTCTTAGAAAGTTAAGAGTAAAGACAACAACAAAACACTAAACTTAAAGCTACCAGGAGTTACTTAGCCTAGGCTTAGCTGTTTATCAGACTTACAACAGATCTTATGAGTATATTGTAATTTATAAGCACATATTTTAATGTTATTCTGTAGCAAAATCCATGAGATTTATTTTCCCTTAGCTACTATTCAGTTCATGTAATTCAGGGAATAGCTACAAGAAAATATCTACTTGCCAAAACATGCCCATACCTCCAGTCAGAGCAATAATTAAAAGGATTAGGAGGCTAGCAGAGGAAAAATAAAATTATAATAATAGTATATAACTGTTTAAAGAAAAGTAGCAATTTTGAAATAGGATGTTTTGGTGCTGCAGGAAAAGATTAATTTGTCTTAAGCTTTTTTGGCGTCGATAGCACAAATATGAAAGGTGCTTTGCATAAAAGAATTCAGCTTTTGTATACACCATTATCAACCAATTAAATGGAGTGAAGTTTCATTTGTGCCAAGCATTTGCATTAAAATAATATGATGAAGACCCTAAAACGAACAGCTAATGCAAAATAGTAACATTAACTTAAAGAAATAAAATAGAGTTCATGAATTATTCTAAGTCACGAGCCTTTTCACTTTCAGTGAATCACAAGAAAATCATCCAAAAGGGAGTGGTTTCTTTCAGTATTACAATGTACTAATCATTCAGCAGGGGGAATCACTGAGGATTTGATGAATACATGAGTGTATGAGTCAAATGCTATGGCTTTTAAAAACTAGATGATACCTTTTAATATAGAAGCACTTTTTGTAGTCTAGCAACATGTGAAGGTATTTTTTTGTCCCTTTTCTGGCACAACTTAAAGCATGAATTTGTATTCTCTGTGCAAGACTCAAATTTAGCTTTCCATCCCTGTCCTCCAGATGCAATCTGCGGTTGAGATTTGTGCGCACAGAAGCTCTCACCTCTTCATTTTCTATCTTCAGTGTGGCCAGGCGAGACTGCAGCTGGTGGTATCGCATCAAGAGCTCTGTCTGGACAGGCTGCTGTGCACTAACCTGACACACCTCGAAAAGAAAAGAAAGGAACCTTTTATTGAACTTAGAAGAAGGGCTGAATAAAACCATGAACATTCATCTCTGACAGTTCAGCAGCTCCAGGCCTCTTCACCAAGTCTCACCCACTCAGAAGGGTTTTGCTCATCCCAAATCCCTTTTATACCTATTTTGCATAAGTGCAAAATAGGTATTTTTGCTCACTATTCACTGTAGTCAAGTATTTAATAGTGATAAATGGACTTGTATATGCTCAAAGCCTATGTATGATGAGATTTCCTGGCAAATAATTTAAGGACATTTTTGTATGATATTATATTTTCTATCATTTGGGTTCTGATTGAACTACACCAAACAACTCTTATAAATATTAGATCCCAACCCAAACCAAAACAACCCCATGCAACTTTCTGCTTTTGAATACTGTTGAATGGAGTCACTTTTTCTTAGTCACCAAGGAGTAAAAAAAAAAATACAAATTTACTTTAATCATAAGTTCTCAAATCAGGAAGCAAAGGTTGGATGGATTTGAGTGTGTGCATGGCTGCCACAAAAGGATCTGTGGTAGGCAGCAGACCAAAAAGTACAAAGCATCAAGGCGATGAAATGACCAGCATTAAACTCACCTCATCCCCCATATGTGGCTGGTAATCAAAGCGTGCTGGAGGACAGAAGATCTGACTGTGTGTGTCCATAAACCTTAGCTTGTCCCCTCTAATGTCCATGGCGTCTACGGCTCCTTCAAGTAGATCCAAACCTTCGTGGCGAGAGGTTTCCAGACTGTATTCAGCAGACAGATAAGTCCTCATGGTGCGTGCCAAGCTTGCATGGTAGCCCAAGTCACAAGACTGACAACAAGGAAAACATGTGTCAAGTTTAAACAAATGAAAGGGCTGAACAACAATGGATTTAACTGGTTTTCACTTACATCTATCATGTCCGACACATCGTGTATGTAATATTTGGCCACCAGGGCGTTGGTAGCTACCAAATTGAGAAGATAGTCGTTCCGGGCCTTTGTGCACTTCAGCTTATTTTCAAAGTACTTGGCCTGTCTCTGGGGAGAGAAGAGGAAGGAAGAGTCCCATTAATGCAGGATGTTAAGTGTCATCCTAATGTGCTCAAAGAAAGCTTACCACATTACATTGATTTTATCTCAGTAATTTGTCAATGTACTGTATGTATTGAGTGTATGGCACAATGCAAAGACAAGTTTTCTGCCAGCTGTATATTATTTCTACAAATACATAATGATGCAAAGAAGCAATATAATTTAAAATGCATTCATGGTTTATGTTTGCATTATATTTTCTGCCCCTGATATAAATCTTTATCATGCGTGTTTGCATCAAGAGAAACAAACCTTTTCCTTCATTTTTTCCATCTTCCGGACAGAACTTCTTCGCTGGGGACGCTCATCATGACTGTGACGCAACAGACCGCCGCTGATGTCATTCACCTTGCCAATGTGCTTCTCTTCCTGTTTTTCTGCCTCCTTCAGCTTGCTCTCAGCACTCAGACTCTCACTGTGGTACATGTGGTATGTCTTCATCACCTAAAAAGAAAAATAAAATAAGGTTATGATCAGTGAAAACAACAGTGAACTTTAAAATACTGACCCCCACACATCTTTCTTATTTAGAATCAGACGTCTTCACTGATTAGTCTTTCACAATTAATCCTTTCACAATTTCAGATTGTACCAAGTGAAATCTGAAAAGTTTCAGAATCATAAGAAGTAAATTTTATGTCCTAGAAATAAAATCAAAATCACTGAATGGTATTGAGACCGTGAAATAAATGTTTTATGGTAATGAAAAAAAACATATATGAATATTTGAGAAAAAAAATCTCTTAATGGCTGATGTTGCAGAAAAACTTAACATAAAATGTATCTCTGTGTATTGACCAACACATAATTCTCTAATATATCTTTCTGTCATATAACTCTAGGTTTATGATAAGGCCAGCTGCAATTGCTCGCTACACCTTGGAAATCTTGTTGCCAGCTCTTGCAGCAGTCTGTCAAGATGGCATGAAAGCTCTTACAAGCCCCTTTCACAAAACACTGCAAGTCGGGATATAGTTTCTTTCTGGCCATCTGTGTGTTTTCTGAGAGTACCAGGCAGTATAACATAGCAAATAAACATATCACAGCTTATGCCACCAAGTCACCCGTGAGCTTTTTTCTTCTAACCCATTTCCAAAAGGTCCAAATTTGTCTGGGCTAAAATTGGTCTACAATTGGTTTAAAAGTGAAAGCTGTTGAAACATATTTTTAGACATTTATTAGAAGACTAAATATAGACCAGAACAAGCTGGTCTTAAACTCCAGACCTACTGATTGCAAACACATTGTTTACACTACATGAGACACACATTTACATCTTTATTTGTAAAGCTGACTCTCATCCGACTTTGAGACGCCCTAAAATAAACCCCCTCTTTTTTATTTATTTATTTGTTTGTCAGCACTACTATTTGATCATAGCTTAACAGGAACAAGGGCAGAGAGAGAAGGGGAGGACATGGAGTAAATGGCACAGAGTCAGGAATTGAATCTGGGATAGTTGTGTTGAGGATTGTAGCCTTTGTTCATGGTGCCCTCCCCTCCACTGAGTCACTTAGTGCTGATTTTTGACTGAATAATCTTTAAGCTTATTCGAAGTTGGTTTAAAAAAAATAACAGATAGGAATATGTAACATAATCTAAGCTATTTTGTGTTATTATGAACCTTAAAATAATTTCCAACTATCGTATTCTATTTTAATGTGATTATTACAGTGTTTTGGATTAAAAAAAAACTGCAAATTTCAAACTATGCGTTTATATTTCTTAACTGTAATTAAATAACTAGGTTATATGTAAATGAGTAGCTCTGATTAAGCTCATTGGAACAATCAGTTTGTGAGTTGACAGCTTTAGACTTGTTACTTGTCCTTCTGAAAAAATAAAAACCACATTGCCTAGTCTTCAAATGAATGTCATATTCAGACGCATCACATCATTGTTCAATAAAGGTTACTCATGTTACAGACACATAATCATGACACGGTGGGGGACTGTGGAGTATTTTCAGTGGACCCATCGAGAATCTTATCAAATTCACTACGAGTATCATATTCGTATTGATATTCTGGAGATGGTCTGGTGTATTTCTCCAAGATCTTGTCTTATATTTCAATAAGACACAAAAGAAACTTTTCAGTGATTAAAAAAAAAGAACTAGGTGTTATGAACAAGATTTTTACGACCGTCATCCTATATACCGTTTAAATAGTAACGCCAGATATAACAGTTCAATTAGGCAACATCTGCTTCTCCATCACTGGTTCTCAGGTTCTGGTTACCTAGCAACCCTGGCTGAAATGGACGAGAAACGAACGTGAGATCGATCAGTAGGAGAGGAAGGAGGTAACAAAGTGACACAGAGCGAGCGTCTGTGCTGCAAATGAAACGAGTAACATGCACAAGAAATGTGGTGGACGATGGTTGCCCTAATCCATTAGCTTCTAAAAAGTCTTTTCAACACAAGAAGATCAAATGGCTTACACATCCACGTTGAGCTGTGTTACTGTTACTGCTGCAAAGTTGAAAAGACTTTGGTATCCAGTACGCTGCGTGTCTGAGTTTCAGACAGGCTTTTAATAATGCATGAATGTGAAAAGGGGAAAAGAGAAAAATCAATATTGGTATAGCAGCAATGTTAGCTGCGCTGTATGAAGTTGTATGCGAGAAGATTTTTTTTTGCCGTTTCTATCACGGTGCTGTCTGCTCTTTGAACCTTTGCTTCTCACACTGATGTATTTTTACACCTTTCGCAATAAATATTGGCATGGCAACCACTGAAGTATGTATACTTATTTTGCATTTAAGAAAATATATGCAAATAAATTCTTTTAAAAGTCAAACATTCAATGAAACATTTTCACATTTTTTCTCCCTTTTGGTCAAATCTAAATGATTAAATACTGATAAATTACTTGAGGTCACCAGAAATTTTATTGTTTCTTCAAAAATATTTTTATGTTCACTTAAGGATAAATTAAGCTTAATACATACACATGCCTCCTTGAAATCTACCGGGTCAGGTCCAGTAGGAGACCCAGGACTCAGCAATGTGAAAAAGTATTTGTTTTTTTCACACTGTGGACTAACACTACACATCACTTGAACAAACCATCCATACTGTAAAAAATGTTGGCGCCATCATCATACTGTGGGGGCTGTTTGCAGTTGATGAAATCTTGAAATTGGGGCAGCAGTCTTCCAGACGCAGCCATCGTTGTAATGCAATGGTCCAGATAAAAGTATAGTAATTTTTCAGAATGGTCTAGTCAAAGTCTAGATCTAAACTCAAGTTAGATTGTGTGGCAAGATATGAGAAATCAACTTCAGTCAAATATGACTGAATGTAAGGGACCACACAAATGTGTGACAGTAGAGTTCAAAATGTAAGAAAACTCTTGTATGGCTCTAAAGCTGTTAAATGTTAAAATATTTTGTATTAACTTGCAGTGGAACCACAATGAACTGTGGTTGCACTGCAGCTGAACCAGGAAGCTCAGCAAACAAACAATCCCATGCCAAAGCAGTCAGAGGTTTGTGTTCAGCATGGATTAGATAGCATGAACAATAAGCAGCGTCTTTTTCTCTGTTCTGCACACGTTCTAGAATTACAGAATTTGTATTTTTTATTTTTTTTACAGTAGATTAAATCATTTGTGAATTGTTCATTTTAGAAAAGGAAGAGCTTCCTCAGACTCCACAACTATTTCAAAACTATTTGCCATAAGCATTTCTGAAGCAAAGTGCTGTCTTTGATTAAAAACAGTTTAAGACAAAAAACCTTGGAACAATGCAGCAATTGACAGCAGAACAAAAATTGGCTTTCTTACAACCTCAGCAGAAGGAAAAAGTGATAAAAGCCTGTTCTGTTGATAAGGCCTTTCTCCAGCGTGCAGCGTCTGGACAGCTGCTGCACAGGTTACAAGCTCGGGTTAAAAAGAAGGCTACGGAACTGCAGCAGCAGGCTGCCAAGGCTGGGCACCGACACAGAAATGTTTGGCTGGCAGGAGGAGGGATGTTGCGCAACTTACTGTGTAGAGTTCATTGGTGACTTTCACTAACTCTTCATGCATCTGGACCCCGATGTCTTTACTCTGCAAAGAAAAGAAAACAGAAACGGCAGCAGATTTAGTGGAGAAATAACATGCAATGTGCATAAATATAAATATGAAAACTACTGTTGTAATCATGTCATGAAACCCTTGAAAGCTGTATGGCAGTTTTATTTCTCTGCGAAGGATGTCAGCTGACATGCTGTCATTACTCTGCAGATGAGAGGATCTAATACAATGCCCAAAGAAAAAAGCCAGACAAAAATAGAACAGTGCACTCATTGCAGAACATTTCTCCAGACAGAGAGTCCCAGCTTCAGCTCAGTTACAGGGAATAGGAGCGTATGATGAATTGGACATTTCGCACAATAGGGCTTTTAGGCAAGAAGAGGGAGAGAATGGTGCCAGCTCCAGTGGAGTGTGACTGTGGAAATCCTTTTGAGTGGATAAAGAACGGCGTTTGGCCGATCTATCCTGTTTTGTTGTCACCTCTAAGGCACAACTCCTCAAAACCACAAACTTGCATTTTCTCATGCTTAGAGAGTGAGACTTCAGCACATTTGGTCCATTTAGAGTTTGTCTTATCAAGCGCCAGATGTGATTCATTCTTGTCACCGCATGTGTAATTCATTACTATTCACTCTGCACTGCAGCTGAACCAGGAAGCTCAAGCATAACAGGATTATTGTCTTAAAGGAGTCTTAGCACATTTTCTGTGACAGATTTCCAGCAGGCGGTCATCAGTAATCTCCTTTAACCTGGCCCAAGCTAACCATTTTTACCCACCTTCGCATTGGTGCATCTTTTCAGATTCAGTTTTAATTTATTAAAATCCCACATTTGCTATTGTTAAACGATAGAAAGGGCCTTGTTGTGTAGGATGGCTGTATAATGCAAGGGAACGTGTTGGTAACAAGTAGAAAACATCACTAATGTTTACACCTTGCTTGTGCCTCATTATTAGACTCCCTTCATAAATGTGTTATTGTTAATAGTATAGACTCACTTTTACCTGAGGACAGATTTTTCTGTGAAGCATTTCCAAAACATTTGGACAGTCACTAAATGAGTGCCAATCATGAAAATGACTACATCAAGCATATTCACAATTTTGTGTTAATGCGTTTGTATTAATATCCAAATAACAATGAATGATTACATATAATTATAAGTACAATAATCAAAGTTTTACAATATTTTATCGGCACCAGGAATAATTCTTGTCTTTCTACTCTTTCTTTCTACCATGTTATACATTTTAATTTAAATGTTATGTCTTAAAAGTGTGGTATGTTTACTCAAGATTATTAGAAAATGAGAATGTCACACAAGCATAAAAGTTACATAATTAAACTTTATAACTGCTATGTGTGTTTATGTATACTGATCTCGCCACAACATGCTTTAGAAATGTAATATGAGTTGGTCGTTTGCATGAATATGCGTGACTCGTAAGGATCGGTTCCATTCTGACCTTTTTGAAGAGTCTGGTGACATCCTCGCCTACGTGTGCCAAGCGGACAATGACGTTGTTGTTGTAGATGTCGCTGAGAGTGGCGTGGTCTCGGCTCTCTCGCCGGGTCTGGTCCAAAACCAAATACCAGCAGTTCACAGTGGAGATTAGATTTTGGTCTTTCCTGTGAAGTTGAAGGGGGAAAAAAAAAAAAAAACACCTTGTTGGTACAAATGTGCATCTTCAAGGATTACTTATAGCTGCACCAAATGTTTCATGTTTTAACTCTGATCAAAGTGGTTGGATTCTAAGAAACTGGCAGATGTAACATCCCTGCACATAAAACATGAGGTTTAATGAAAACTTTCATCCTTGAGCAACCCTGAAGTCCATCAATAAATACAAGCAGTTTTTACCAATTACAGATGAAAACACCAGAGGGCATGCAGAGAGGAAATCTGTACACACACAAATGTGAGGCATGCTGGTTGCCTGACTGCTCAAAGAAGCATGTGAGTTCAATTATCCTCACACCAAATAGTTTATCATCTTGTTGTTGATCTTTCTTCTGTGCACATATGCATTAGTGTTTTTCAACCTTAATATGACTGGGATCAGGTTTAGACATAAAAAATCATGTCACTGTTTTTAATGTTTAATAAAAAAAGAAGAAGAAAAAGGTGGCTAAAAAATATTTTCCCCTGTAAATAGGTAATCCAATCAAGCATTCAAATAAAATCTAAATTGTTCTGTATGTATAAAAAAAAGGAGGAATCAAATTTCAGTAAATAACTTAATCACTTTTATAGCTTTTACTAATAAGGAAGAATAATTTAAAGATAGATTTCAAGTCAAGTACAACATCTGTGTTAATCTATAAAAGCATTGATAAATTTCAAGCTTGACTAAATGAGTTCATGCTTTTTTTTTATGAATATTGGCTGTACTTTGACTAACATGAAGCTGGCTTTAATCTCTAATCCTCAGGTACAGTCAATGACTGATCCCAGTTTTCTTCCTCGTTATAGTTTCTGTTCTGTGACAAAGAAACCTAGAATCAACTTTATTGTGATTCACACAGAGCACCCACAATACAGCCAGATAGTCACCTGAAACCACTGAAACTATTCAAATTTGCTTTGCTTCAGGAAACTGGAACCTTTCTTTGATATTACAAACAATTAACCACACACTGTGAGTCAGTGCATACTCTGAAGCATTCTCCAATGCATAATGCATTAAACTTTGGTTAAGGCTTGGCTTTATATTTGCTTACAGTTTCTGATGTTGCTCTGCTTTTGTGCAAATGACGCAGGAAAAAAGTCCAAATTGCTAATCTCTTAATGCACTGTTTTGTATTCCCCACCCCTTAAACACAACTAAAAAGAGCTGTGCATCTCCATCACTTTCTTATGTCAGATACTTGACTTCTTCAGGGAGAAAAAAAAAAAGCGTGAACAAGCTCTTTCTATAGGCTCGCCTCTCAAACTGAGCTGGTGTTTGATCCTGGACATGCCTTCAAGATGACAAGATAAAAATGTCTGCCTGCCGGCTGCTCAAGAATAAGGATAAGTCTTTTCGTATTCAGAGCCCCGGCAGCACAATGTTGAACTGTTTAAGGAAAATGACAGAAAGAGGTTTTCCACTTGACAGCCCATAAAAAAATCCAATACCTTTTTCACAGCTCCGCCATTGCATCAGAAGAACACAAAATTTGACTCAAGAACCTTTTACCGACAAAACAGAACATAAACTGAATCTGTTACCTCATTCACTGAACATGATGGATATGCAGTGCCTTGCACAACATACCCTTTGTTTTCAGATTTCAATCATTTTATTGGGCTGACAGACCAGGAAGGGAGAGCATTTGTGAAATAAGAAGACTAGCGGCCTCAGACTCTGGGAGAGCTGCAGAAACCCACAGCTCAGGTAGGAAACAACAGATAATGGTGCATTTAGCAAATATCGCAAATAATTATGGAAGGGTACCATGATGAAAGTGATGAAACATATACATTTTGCATAATGTCATAAGGCATTTGACGCATGCATTCTGCAATAAAGAACCGGTAAATATTTCAAGTTTTGAGACAAACAAATCTGTAGAGAAAATACTTGCACCTTTGCTGTGCTCACCTTCGTGTGAGTGAATACTCGGACTTGCTTTTTTGTGAAAAATCTTTAACAATTAAATGCCCTTCTCTTTCCACTTGTCAGATACATATTACTTCACAAGTAATACTGTGAAGGTATTAGCCGTTACCTAACAAAATGTAAAAAAGTTTGACGGGTATGAGATATTTTGCAAGGCACTGTTCGTTATGAGTGATGCATGCAGACAGTCCCTTGTGAAGTAAATCTCTACAGTTAATTTGGCAGATTTAGCAAATTTATGAGCTTCTCAGGCATGGACGTTCACTTTCTACTGGATCCATGAACTAATCCAGTGCATTCAGTCATGCACAGTGATACAGAGAATAGAAATGTTATCATAAGTGGGGAAAACGCAATAAGAGATAGCTTAAAGAGAAGAAGTGAAACAACTACAGGTTATTAATGACATTAAAGAGCCCCTCCAATCTCTTCTACAAGCTTAAAAGGAGCTTTTGACATTCAGTTATAATGATGACCATTTAATGTGACGGAGAAATCTGGGACAGTGAGGGGTGTGGGGAGAAGTTTCTGCAGGAGTCTCCCTCTGAGGAAACGCTCCATTAATCAATGTCCTAGTGACGGGAGCTCTCAGCCGTGATTGCGCTTTGGGTCCAAATGGCTAAAGAGAGACTTCATGATGGAGATGAAAAGAGTTTCCCAGCATTTTCCAGCATAAATCTCTGTATGGCTGCAGCATAAATAGATGTACAACTACTTATGAATCAATTACTCCAACTGAACCATATTGCTAAATGTAAATAACGGATTTCCTATTTGATAATCTAAAACCCCATATAAAATGTGTAGGTATCAAGGTAGATGACACAAATCTAAGCCGCACGCTCAACGCCCTTTTAAGGCTTTTCTTTTAAGGTAAAGATCTCCCACTTTGATCTTTTACGATATTTACAACATTTCCATTCTAATTACTGCACAGTTTCTTTACCTTTTAATCTTTCTCAGTATATTATGACTACCATTATTACTGTTTTTGTTAATCTTGGCTTTCATATATTTAATGATGCCATTTCTCCTGAGTTTCTCCTCTGTGGGGCAGTAAAGGTTGTCTCAAATTACTGATAGTGTTGGCAAATAGTCTTTGAGCAGATATCACTTGCTAATTAAAACACTGGAAAAAAAAATCACTTTTAATCCCTTTTGTCTGGCAGTAAAACTACATGTTTAAAAAAAATAACTATGACACAAATTACAAGTATTGATCTAAGTATAGTGAGAATTACACAACTGGGTAACTGTTAGCTCCTAAAATTAGCACCTGCTTCATCACTTCCAAACTGTGTGAAACTTGATGGCCCTTTAGTTGTAAAGGGCATGCACTGGACAAAACAGGATCATATGTAGATATATATTTAAACTGATCCAAAAGGAACTGGGTTATTGTAAGAGTTTCTCAAAGCTCAGGTTCTGGAGAAATAGTTCAATTTAGAATGACAAAGTTACTGTCAATATGCAATCCTATCAAGCAAGGTAAGCTTAAGTTATCAGTTTTGTGCTACAAGTATGAAGACAAGTTTTTCAAAACTGTTTTCATGTTTGAGCCTCATGCTCTGAAGTAAAAAAAATATATATAAGTATATTTAAAAAAATAAATTCTTCCCACTCAATCCTTTGTGTGGCTGCATATTTGGTAGAAGAAATGTGAAAATGTGACAGTAATCTATAAGTAATCTGAGATTCTAGTAATATAATTTTTGCATACAATAAATCTAGTAGATTTGTAAGATTGCTCCCTCATGAGCTTCTTAGGCATGGAAATTCACTTTGTACTGGATCTATGAACTAGCGCATTCAATAATTTATCTTGCAGTCTTCATTGATCAATGTTCCAACCTCATTAGAAAATATTATGCTTCAAAGCATTATTAATGTCATTTTTGTATAGTTATCTTTATGCCAAGTGATTCTCATTAACAAAATCGAGTTGGGCAATTTCTGAACATGGACAGTCACAGAGTGCTGCAGGCTAGTCTAAGCATCATCTCCAGCACGCCGCAGGGCATTGCTGCTGCCCATGACAAATGACCACAACACACTGAAAGTTAAACTACAGAAAATTAGTAATATGTCACTTTCTTTCTGCTTCAGCAAATTCTAAATAAAGATATGTCCCAGTTTCTCAGTGTAATATGAATTTCTGCTTATTTGGCTAGGATTTCATTGTAATAATTTTTGAAAATGTAAACGACATGATAGCCAGAGAATAAAAGGAGGGGGTGGAGGGATAGATAAAGAGTCTGACCTAGTTGGAAGGAACAGAGCAGCCCGGGGCCACAAGGCATCTTGGCCCTGGATTCATTTCAGGTCATTTCCTTTGCTTTTATCCCTTCTCCCTCTTTACTTTTTATTCCCCCTCTGTTTTGCTCTGTGTCTGCAGTAGCAGTGATCAGCATGGCACATGTGTGATTTTTGTTTTTCAGGTGTTTTTCTCTGTTTGAAACACTCACTTGAAATGCTGGTGTTCTCTGGAGCTGCGGATCTTGGAGGAGTAGCGCTCAGCCAGCTTATCCAGCCCTCGGGAATACTCTAGCTGGAGTTCGGCCTTTCGGCGAAAGAACTCTTGCAGGTCCTGCAGCAGCTGCAGCCGGGACTCGGACTGCTGCTCCAGACATCGGAACTGCTCCACTAGCTGGTTACGAATCTCTGCGTAACCAAACAAAAGACAATTAGCAAAATAAACAGAGCCTCTCTACATGTCGGTCTGCCCCCTCCCCCCCGGAAATTAGGATCACTAAGGCATGTGAGGACACATTTAATCCAAAAGTAATGCGACCAAACAGAACAAAGTCATCATAAGTGGAGAAAACCAAAATGTCAGAATTCATTTGTCTGCCAGCTTTACATGCAAGTGTTTTGTGGGGGTAGAGAGAAGGAGAAAGAGAGCAGGAGTATCTGCTTGCTGGGGTTGCACACGTGCATACAGTATGAGATGCATGTCTGATGATTGCAGCAGACAGCACGGAAAATTCAAAATAGGTCAGCTTCTCAAAATGCATTGTGCCGAGAGAGCCTTCAGAGGACATTGGCTGAAATACACAAACTGCGAGCATTTGTCTCATTACGCGATTACAATGGTGTCTCTGTGTTTGAGGTTTGGACACCAAATTGTGCTGTGTTTAAAGTGGGAATAGTCTAGATTTAAGAAAACATTTTGAAGCACAATAGAGAGACATAAAACAAGAAGATGTAATGTCACCCTTTGTAAATAAATGCATTCATTTTCTGTAAATTGGCTCCTGCCCTGTGGCCACATGTTTTACTGATTAGGTCAGGTTTACAGTTTTATCAATACAACAGCTAATGCAAACCTCCTGAGTCCTTCCTGAATAGCCTAGAATTTCACTGAACCCATTTCCAGTCATCTTTGGTATTTCATTTAATAAAACCGCCAATAAAACAAAAGGATAACCAGCAATATTACCATGACTCTTAAAAATATGGAAAAAAGGTAATAAATTCTATACCAACACATACTTGTAACATCTAAAGAAAGACAGCAATAAATACAGTGACTACATAGTTGCTAAATATAAACCCTTTATTGTTATAGGTTACTTTACAACTTATGTCTCACTTGCAGGTACACCCTAATTAAAATTATACAAAGAAATAGAAGTATTGTTTCATAATGTCATAAAATCCTTCTCGATAAACATTTTACACAATATTCTGCTTCCCCATCACCAGGGAGGAGATCCCATCTGAACTATTAGACAGGCAAAAGCAAACATAAGTTTTCATAAGAAGAAATAACAATCTGGCTGACTGTATGCGTTCAAGGTCACTGGCACCTATCTTTAGCAGTCACTGGGCAATAGACCGGGTGCAATCTGGTAGGACACCGGTCCATCACAGGGCAACATGCAGTGTGTGCAAAGTTATTAGGCAAGTCGGTATTTTAAACAGATCATTTGTAGGGATGTTTTCTAAATTCAGTTTTCTAAAAATGAAATCAGAGAAAGTTTGTACAGGAAATTAGAAGAGTATCAATTTAAAACTCCAGCTTTTACATTAATATTTATGACATTTATAAATCACTCATGTGTCTATAATTTTGGCAGATACATATTTTAGTAAGTATGTTTAGTCAGTGTGTTCAACGCAACATGTTGACATTGTCCTCTCAATATTAATGTTCTCAAAAATCTAAATTAAAGTACTTTAGTATAATATTTTGGATCCATTCAAATTGACTTTTTCGTCATTCGTCAAACACTTACGTTTGTTTTCACTCCTTTTATTTTGTTATTCAGACATCTTAAAAAAAAAAACTCAAACCTGGACTGATTTACAGTCAATACAAATTTTTTACAAACACATATTGTAATTTATGAACACATTAATAGTGGAAAAGAAAAGGTTCTTAGTTTTCCCCAGAATATTGTCAAAGCTTATTTTGTTATTGTAAATCTAATATCACAATTGTCTTCTAAACTGAATGTACAAAATACTGCAACACAGATATACTTTTCTATTTTGTACATTTATATAGATTATTATGTTCAATGAACTGTGTAGTTCTAGTTCCAGTTAAATCCATATTAATACTGAAAAAAATAAATATTTTTTAATGCACCCACTGGTGACGCACAGCCACTTTGGTTACTTTAGCATTAATTATGCTAACCTACCTCTGAGCTCACATGGACAGATTATGCAGAGACATATGCAAGGCTTTCTGAACAAAGTTTTTTTTGTTGTAGAAGGTAACGAGACCACTTGACCAACACTGTTTCAAAAGATCCCACTATGACATACTGTTACAAGCATGCATATCATTGCTGAATTGACAACAAATCTATGTAAATGCAAGTATAGAAAAGAGAAGCCTTCTGTTAAGATTCTTCGTGTCATTTTTCTAGAAGAGGAGGGAAAGATGTCAAAAATTCCTCCCCCACTGTCTGCGAGGGAAATTGTGAATGAGTGAGCAAAGACTGAGACAAACAAAGTAAATATGTAATCCCCTGACATGCAGAAAGGAGGAGATGTACCTCTTTTGGTCCCCACAGTTGCCTAGTTGCCTGGTTACATGCCTCTGGAGGCATTTCAGCAAGAGCGGGCCAGTTCCCTGCTCCAACAGCCGCAGCAGTCAGTCTGTTTAGCATAATGGCCAAGGACAAGGGCAACGTTCTCTGCTTCAGAATAAGCAACAACCAGCCTCTAATGACGAATAAGGCAGCAATCAAGTCCAAAACTTCAAGGGCTGTGATGCACTCTTGAACTGAAATAGACCAATGAGCAACACAATTTGTTGGTCTTCGTGGTTTAAGTGATTATTATCCCCACAGTGTCAGGAAACAAACAACACAGAGAGCAAGATTTTATTTCATAGATTTAAAAATATATTATAATATTTGCTTTTCCCCTCCTGTGTGAGTTATTTTTAGATCCTAAAGTGTTACTAGCAATAGAGCACAACATTCAATGAATGATTCAGGAGTTTGCAGGGTAATGCATAATTACACAGAAGCTTGCAAGGAATTTAAGAAATAGGACCCAGACAGTTTTTTTTCCCTCTCTCTTTAGTTGAGAGTAATAAAATGTCAAGCAGCATGTCATACCAGATTCTTCGCCTGGGAACATTGTGTATGCTCCACACCCAAAGGCTGGTGGAAATTCACAAACAGGGTTTTGGACATTTGACGGTGTTTCTTACCCTAATCAGAGTGATCGAAATACACAATGCCTCTCTTTAAGGATATGAAAATAGATTTTAATACGTAAGATTGATGGCCACATGAATTGAGTTTGTTCTAAGGTGGATAAAACATTAGTCAAGCAGTGACATCATTGCTTGTGTGCAATGAGTGTTTTACTTTAATATGTCAGAATCAAGCGCCAACTTGATTCTCTGGAGGCATTTCAGCAAGTGCTGAAAATATGCCAAATGATGATATTTCTGAAAACTTATTGTTTCTAATAAGTTTTCAGTTTTAAAAATATATTCTCAGGCCACTTTACTCAGTAGACGTTTCTGATTCAGTACAACTTATTTATTCAATGCTAAATCACAACACATGTCATCTTAACCGTCTGAGTATTTCAGAAGCAGCTTATCTTCTTGGTGGTTTAGCCATAATTTTTTGTCTGAACTACTGAGAAAGTGCAAAAAAGGAAACAAAAATATTCTGTGAGACACAGATCTATAGTTGATGTCAGTCAAATAGCCAGGCTGGCTTTAAATGAAAGAAAAGCCACAATAGCTGAAGCGAGAAATGTTGCAGCCGAGGTTTGGACGACACCTGACCGCTGATGGGCAACAGCAGCAGAAGACCACACCGGATGTCAGCTGGAAACAAGAGTCCAAGTCTACAATTCACACAAGTTTAGCAAAAGTGGAAAGAAACAAATTGGAAAGATGTCGCCTGGTCTTTTAAATATTGATTTTGATACAATATTAAGATGGCAGGTTGTCATAACATGATACCAAAGATCCTAATGACTCAGGATGGTGCCAATGGAGTAATGGAGGATAACTTCTTAACACTGACAGTACTAACCGGATGTCGTTTGAATGCCACACCTTACCAAAGTACTGCTGCTGTTGAAGTCCAACAGCCTCCACAGTCACCAGGTCTCGATCCAAAGGAGCCATGTTTCCCAACCCTGGTCCTTAAGGAAAGTTTTAGATGTTTCCCTGCTTTAACACACATGATTCAGGCTTCTGAAAAAGTCTGTCAACCAGCCAGAAACCAGATGTACTGAAGCAGGGAAACATCTATAACATGCTGGGAGTTATGCCTTGAGGATTATGATTAAAAAAAAAAAAAAATTACTCACATTCTGATGTGCAGCCAACAAACTATGAGGCACTATCATGTTAAATTAGACCCAATACTGGGAGATATTTTTACCACCTTGTTGAATCTATGCCAAACACAAAAAGGCAGTTCTGACTGCAAAATACCAGCCAGTACAAACCAGGAGTATCTAATAAGCTGGTCAGTGACTATTTAATACACAGAAAAGCCTCCAGTAATTTAATGTTAAATAATGCTGGTAAATATTTTTCTCTCTTTAAATGGTAATGTGGCATACAGCATTCAATCTGACAGTCAGTAATTGTAAACCCACGTCAGTGTCAACCTAAAACATAATTTAGCTTGACACTACATCGTTTAATGTGGTGCTACATTAAACGATGTAGCACCACCTACATCGCTTAATCTGATGTAATTACGGCTCAAAAAGGTTATTTGTTACAAATGTTTGCCCTTCCTGAAATGTTAGAAGGCCATCACCTGCTATTTTTACTCTGCAGGGTCAAAAAAGACATGCTCACCCAACAAATGTAACAGCAGCAGTGCTTGGGGTGGTTATGCTCCAATCTCTGGCTGACAGTCAAATGAAATAAGGGAAAGCTTTGGTCACCGTTTCATCCCAGCGCTGCCAGCGAGGCGTGGGCTTTACAACAGAACAGAGCACCAAACACAACGCAGAATAGAGTCGCCATCACCACGGCTGCCAGTTCAAAGTAGCCGAGAACCGTTATTAGTAAGCGTGGCCGGTAGTGGTGACTGAGACTGTTGTTAGCCATGCGTGGCTAATCACAAGGGACCTAACCCAGAATGACACATTGACATAATTTGGTGCAAATCAAGGTTGTGATGTGTGAGTGCTTGTTTTCTGAATGCAGTAATGACTATGGCATGCATTTGTATTTGGTTTGGTTGAGTTCACATTTCTTGCTCTCTCACTCCTGAAAAATGCTTTTAACAACTAACTGCGTCACTCTTGGTGTAATCACACAGGACAATCCTAAATTTACAGGCGTAGTTCCAAATGGCTTTCTGCTTGGATTTCATAATGCTCCACTGTGAGCCATCGTCTGTCACCGAAGCAACAAACAAGGATCTCAAACATTGGTGTTACCAAGACACAAGCAACAAAGATATTTATGGCACTATCAAAATTCAACCATAACACTTCAGGCCAGAATTTATCAATGCATTTTTTCCTTTGTGATGGAATCTGACAGAAAGATTTGTCTGCTTACTCTCCAAGGAATACATATTTGTGAAGAAAATCACATTAATTTCATGGCTAAATAACAAGACTTTGTGCAGTTAGGCTGCACAAAGTCTTCAGCATTTTTATTTTTAAAACAACTCAAAATCATGGAGAAGATGTGCAAAGCTTAATATACAAAAACTGAAATAGCATGATGGATAATAGATCTCTCTGCATTTTAGCAAGAGATAAACTAGAATGATCTGTCACAAATAAAGTCACTACCTTGGCCAACAAAGTTAGTGATTATTTTGTGATTTATTTATGATTATTCACAAATTATGACATAAATTAGTATTTTCTCTCAGCTTATCAAAAATTTTAGCTAAAACATGGCAGGATTAAAAGGATAAAACTACCATTTGTTCAAACAGTGACAAAATGTCAGCGAAATAAACACTTGTAAAGTGCAGAAGATCTGGGTCTGATTGATATGCTGTGCAGTCAGCAGCTGAGCTTTACTGGAGGCCAGAGTCAGTGCATGAATAAAATCCTACAGCACCAAACCAATCCAAGCCCCGTTAGCAAATGAGCTTAAGATGTCAGCTTAAAAGCCTTTTCTGAAACTGAGACGAGAGATTGGGCTGTGATGGCTCTCTCGGAGCCGCAGAGGCGAGCGAAGACTGATCTGTGTGTAAGTGTGAGTGTGAAGACAGTGTGAGAGTGAAAGAGTGACAAAAAGAAATTTCACCACACCTCTCCTCTCACTATAAATGCTCATCATGTTCTTCATTCCCGACACGTGTTGACAATCCTTTGTCATTTCAGCTGTGCAGTGGTTCGCTCTCCCATCTAAGCCTGGCTTCTCACCGGCTATACGTTCTGTTTTGAGCGTGCAGCTGAGGCTTTCTGGCTCCAACGTTAACAAGCTGGACACATCTCAGGCATATGATATTGATCTCATATGCAAGCAGTCATCTATCACAGTCTCAGTGTCTAAGCAAAAGCAGCATGCAATTATTATTACGGATAATAACTGCATGCCACTTATGCTTAAAGTAGCATGCAGTTACTTTAAGCTGGTCTTCAGTCATAAGTGGGCATCTTTCATGTTGGTTCATTTCAACGACGGATTCAACAAAATTAACATGCCTCCAACATAAATGTGACAAAATCTTATGGCACAAGATCTTGTGGCATTAAAAGTGAAGTCCGTCTTTTGAGTCTAAGTTTGGGCTCTTATTATTATGAATGTTGGACATGAAGGTTAATTCTGTAAGTTTGTCACCATGCTGCTTATTTGTAATTTATTTTTAGTCAATTTTTGTTTCAGATCAAATATTATGAAATGAAAGAACAGATCACAAGACATAATTTCTTTATAAAATGAATCTCATTGTACTCAATGTGCATTTCATAAAAAACTGAACTGTAATTGATGTTAGGTAACTAATTAAGTATTATGTATTCAGGGTCTTTGTGTCTGTGATGTATTTTAAGACATTTGTCATAAAAGCTTCTGAAATGGTGAAGTGGTCAGTCATTAAGAAACTACAACTGTTTCAGGCTCAGACAACTTTTAAAAAATTTCTAAAGATGAAAAAATTAAAATGTTTTTTCCCCCTCATAATTAGATTACTAATCATGAGAGGTCTGTTTTTCTTGTAAAACCAAAGAAGAAAAATGCCAACAGTGTTATTTATTTGTTGTCGCCATTGTAAAGAGACAACATCACTAGATCCATCATAATCATCCTTTACCACATGTTCATAATATCATACAGCCGTAGGTTCATTCCAGCCAGCAAATGTGTGTATTATCATTGAGCAGCAGGAGGGCCGGTGCCAATCACTGGGCGAGAGACGGTGTATTCAAAATACCGATCACCACCCAATCACATAGCAACACAGTGACACTCAATGGAAACCATCTAGACTCCTAACAGACAGTTTAGAGAGTCTATTTATGTATGGTGCATAATTTTGGACAGTGGGTAGAGTTGAACCCACACGTGCATTGGAAGAACATACAAAATCTATGTTGAGGGTCCAAACTCATGGCCTTCCTATTGCAACGAAATAGAGCTAACAACTACCGCACCAATATGATAAATACTAGTATTATATCTCAGAGCTTCAGGGCATTTTGCCCTTTCAGCATTTCAAAGCCTCTTTTTGTACTTCAATTTAAAACATGTAAAGAATTATTTTTATACCCATCATACCCAAATCTGGGTTCTTGATTGCACTTAGGAATTGACATGACATATGTAGTTAAATATAAATATTAATTTCCACTTTATTTTTTTGTTTCTGATCCTTTTTTGGGGGATTCGACTGATAAAATACGACAGTTATGGCCAAAATAAAAGAAACTCCCAGAACGTTTCTGCTAATAAATACTTACTATGGTCCTGTAACCACATTTCTTCATAGTATACTTGGAGTAGAGTATTGAAATGTACTTTTGATGATTGGGTTTCAAAGCAGGAACACAATTTTATCTAAATACAGTTCGGAACATGATATTTTAAACTTGTATGATATATTTAAAACATTTTCTCTAAATAGGTTCAGATCACGGAACAAGACCAAAGTAAAAAACAAAACGTCATTCTTAACAGCGCTTGCAACACTAAATGTGGTCATGAAAGTCGAATAACAGAAAAACACTGAAGCTACAAGTTCAACACTGCAAATTTTTTGCAAATGGTCCTGATGAAGATATGCCTGTTTTAACCACCTTTGATGTAAATGAGCAGGACTATGAAACAAGCAATAAGTGGCTGAAATCCATTTAGTGGTCATTCTTCTTCAGTGCATTTTTTCTGCAGAACTAGTTCACAGGAATACTCCAGTGGAATGTAGTCCATCCATATCGTTCATACCTTTGTTCTTATTTCTTTCTCAGACCAAAATGTCTTAGCTAACACTTCTTTTAAACTCATTGGTTTGTTTGCCTTGTAAACAAAGTGATCAGTTAGCATGCAAAATGATCTAACTGGCTTCTGTGGTTCAGACAGACTGAAGTGGCACTTTGCAGCAACAGGAAACGTAAGACTTACATTAAAACCACAACAATAAGAGGTGCAGCATGATGACAAGACAAGCCTGACTATTCACCTCCTGCAAAGTCTGATCTGTTCCTGACTTTCTCCTCACTCTCACTGGTTGGATCATCCAGTCACATATTTAGTGTCAGACAGTGAAATCCTTTCATAGTTCATAATTCATACACACGGCATACATAATTCATGGACTTTCTGAACTGTTGTGTGACCTTCTCAAGCATTCCCTCTTCTTCTTTCTCATATCACACTGAGTCATGAAGTGACAGGAAAATACTACAAAAGGGATCATCACCATCTCTTATATGTCTTAACTTTTTCATGCCAAAGAAGCTTCTGTAATGGGAAGGTGAGGACAATGTACTTAAAAAATATAATTAATCTTGTGGTAGGATCATCAGGAATAACTGTCAAAGCTTGCATAGAGCAAAAGAATAACACAAGCCCATTGCTTACATGGTCACACAAAGCCAGGCATATTTGAGAAACTGGAGCACAGAGTTCTCTGCAGCAGCTAGATGTTTGCTTTAAATTCACCCCCATGTTTAATTTCAAGTAAAAACAACTCTGTCTAAATAAAATAGAGTGAAACATGATGCCAGAGAAGATTTCTGGACGGAAGGGAGGAAGATAAGTTATCTAAACCAGTGTAATCTGTCCCACACCCACAACACTGCACACTAGAGCCACATAAAGATTGTAGTAAAGTTATGCAAGGGTGTCCTCCCACAAAAAAAAAAAAAAAACGAAAAAACAATAGGAGCAGGCCCTGCACGTCACCCACCTTTCACTTGGGTCTCATATTCGGCAATAATCTCTTTGTCCTTCTTGACTTTGGCCTGAGATGACATTTTGCAGCGAGCGGCTTGTGCAGTCCTCGGGCAGGAATCGAGGGTGTCGGTTGCCACAATGCGGCGTTGAGCCCCTCCGCAGTCCTCTCCGGGCAGCTGAGCAGCAAATCAGACCCAAATCATATCCAGATCGACGCAACTTTCGGAGGCTAAACGCACTTCTGGTCCTCCTGGCTGCGGTGCTGCCGTGCTGCGTTCAGGGCGACGTCTTTCTCAAAGTGCTTAATGATCTCCGATCCTGACCACTCCTCCTCCTCCTCTTCACCAGCACTCCTCACTATATCATGAATCAGTTAACGATTAATGTACATACAAACTCAACTCTAGTGATAGGAGGTCCTTCAGAAAAGCATTCTTCAGTTTGCCTCTTTTTTTTTTTTCTTTTCTTTTGTTGGCCTCTCCTTTTCTGTGCGAGTTCAATGCTGCTGCAGATTTGGCTGAATGGATGTGAAAGTCAGTGGGAGACTCCTCCCCCAGCCCTCTCCCCACTCTCTCTTTTCTTTCATGGATGATTTAAGATTCTTCTGTGTGAACCGCAATTAAAATCTGTCTCAATAACAGATTGCATGTTGTCTGCGGGGACACAGGCCATGACTTTGTGGGCATTCATGGGAATTAAATCTGCAGGCTTGCCAATGCCACAAATGTTGCAGTTTCACAAACACATGGGGTTTTAAGGTAGCGTAACATGTATGGTTTTAGCAAGAGAATAACGCTGCATCCACATGGTTCAGTCAAGATAATATAATCATGACCAAGCTCTTGCACTTTTAGTCTCCTGTAAACTGCATCATTGGTTCTGGAAGTAGGGGCCGAGACCCAACTGCAGGTGATGAGAAACCAAGTGTGAGTCTGGAGTATGTACAGGAAGCAAATTAAATATACAGGTAAATCTGAAAGTTAGAATATTGTGAAAAAGTTTCAAAATGTTGTCACTTATTTTAGAAAGTAAAGCTTGTACATTAAATAGATTTATTAGACACAGTGGAATATTGCAAGTCTTTATGTTTTGCAATTCTCAGGTTTCTGGCCCATGAATTACTAGATCAATGCATTGTGGGGAAATCAGTCTGTGGTTCTGCTGAGGTGATCTGGAAGTCCGAGGTGCCTTCAGGTCGTCTGCATCATTGGTTCTGGTGTCTCTCATCTTCCTCTTGACAGTACTCCATGCATTCTCTCTGGGGTTAAAGGTCAGACCCATTTCCTTATAGAATCAAACGCAAGTACAGCTTTTGTCTGTGATGATGACCTCAGGAAAAATGTATAAATATTTTAAAATGACAGCGGTACAAATGAAAATGTTTGCTGTACAAACCAGAACAAACACAAAATGTCTGACACCAATTTTATTTGATTTGAGGAAGATGGAACGGGAAAACTTCACTCAGGTAAAACAGATTATTGAGATGTTGACATTTCATTGTTGGGTGCAATGTGAGCTAATTGTAGTCGATGCACTTCTGAAACCTTTTCTGAACCCATTGTCTGAGCTACATATAGCATCGAGCTGTTATGTGTAACTCAGTCTGACACAGTTTGCATACAAGCTTATTGACATGACTTTCTGTATCATCTTAGTTACTATTTGCTATTTTTGATTCTTTTCTGTCTCCCAAAATGTATTTTTGTCTCACATGAGAGCAGCTGTTGCAGTGAGAAGACTTCATTGTAAAGAAATACTCATCCACCATTTGTGGAAAATCCTCAGGAAATCTGTAGGTACAAGTCTTTGATAAACTCAAAGATCCCAGTAGGGACGCTGCAGAAAATCTCTCAAAGAATTACCATTCTAACACAAAATTTGGGGGAAAAACCTAGGAAATAGACCTCAGCTTGAACTTTACACAAGCTGTGTATTTTTGAAATAAAGTGAAAAAGTTGTGTGTACCCAGGTATGAACTTAACCAAAAAAAACGTACTCATTAGCAACCCTTCTTCTCTTTTATAACACAAATAAATAATAGAGTTGTACTGGGGATAGTATTTGACCATTATATTGGGCAACAATGGATTGCCCAGGTCACAACCTTTAACAGATACAAATTGGTTATTTTCTGAGTTTATTGTTCATTTTAAAACAATCCATTTTTAATTGAATCTGAAATATTTTATGGAGCTATTTCATCAAATGAAATAAAATTTCGCCTCAAGTTTATGCACAGTAAGTAATTCAAGACAAAAATGAGCAGCTTTTTTTCAGATTTTGATTTCTTTGCACACGTTAAAATATGGTTAGGTTTCTGAGAGAACATCGTTAATCGGAGAACAAAGGCATTTAATTTTATAAGACCTTATATATATATAATGCTTAGTTGAACAGATGTTACTTGTTTGCATTGAACCCATTTCAATACATGTGTAATCTTGTCCAGACTCAGGATCCCCCTCTGCAGAGGTGTCCAGTCCATCACAAGGCAACACAGGGATTTACAGCCATTCAAACATACTTTTACATCCAAGCACAAACTGGAGTTACCAGTTTGATATAAAATTAAGGCTTTGTGCTTTGTTCAAGTACATGTTGACTTGAACCTTTGCATGCACAGGGAAACTATGCAGTCTCCAGAGAAAGGCGTCAGGCACAATTTGAACCTACAGCATTCTTGTTGTTAGGCAACAGCTACAGGGTAGTCTATATTTACATTTGTATTAGTTATTTAATTAAAAAAAACAATAAAAAGTGTGTATCAAAAAACAAGTCATGCTTCAGATGTAGCAAATGTATTTGTGTGAAATTAAAACTGGAAAATATTCTCAATATAATACAAAAAATACATAAACTCAAATAATTTTGCACACATTTCTCCAGACATTAATAAAATGTTGATCTTTAAAACAATTTTGAGGTTTTTCTGCTCATAATGTCTGAGTAGAGCCAAGATACGTAAACATCAGCAAAGATTATGCGATATAAGATTAGCATTAAAGCAGAAGAATCTAAAATGTATTGGCTGCCTAATTTTTAGGGTTATTGCCCATATGTTCAGCAAAACAAAATCTATAAACATCTGCACAAAGCTAATTCTGAGCTGCATGATTCACTTGCATTTGGGTAATTCAAAGATTGGAATAATAAAGGTTCATTGCAACTGCATCTCAAGGAGAATGTTTCTTATCTGTCATCAGCTATATTCATCCTAACGCTAAAACTGATGATGCAGCAACAGAAAAGCAGTCCTCTGTTGTCAGGGAAGCAGTTTGCAGATGTGCCTTTCTAATTTCAGTTTATAAAATTTTAACACTGAGGTTTATTTGCAGTATACTGCTTTTAATAACAGAAAACTACAGCACAAAGGATAATAGCTTTACCTTCTGCAGAGACTAGATTAGTAAAATGTAATCATTCCTATGGAGAAAAGTCAAAAATAACATCTCAGTAAATATTGAATATTGACTTTCATTTGGAAAATTAAGGTTCCAGTGTCTAAATTAGGAATTAAGAACTAGATAATATAACTTGCTGGAGGTCCAGTTTGAAGTTACCACAATGAATGATAATTTAGGGAGCCAAGTTGTTTTAAAGTCTTGATTCAAAGCATTTTTTCAAGTCAATAATCAGAATAGCCATTGACCAAGTAGCTAGACCTCAAGCTATGAATGCCTGCTTTAATGACCATGGTGTCAACGCACCTGACCAAAGGACCATCAAAAATCTGTGGCAAGAGTGCCCAACTCCAGGCCTCGAAAGCTGCCATCATGCAATTTTTAGATCTATTCCCTCTAAAACACATGAAGTAAACAACAACTAAATGACTGGTGGTGAGGGAATTATTTGATTCAGGGAAGTTGGAGCAGGGATATATCTAAAAGTAGCACATGGTTGGGACTGGGCATGGACACACTTCTGATTTATGGGCTATTGTCACAATGAAGATGAAAGACAGACTCAAGAGCAAGGTTAACATCTTTCAAGCTGCATTAATTTTAATCAAATTATTTTCTCTCTTTCAAGATGTTTTTTGACACTAGTGGCCTTTACTCATTAAGAGGGTACTCACTCTTTTGTTACTTTATTTTATGCTTTCTTTTTATCTTATTTATTGATGTTCAGCACTTAGTTCAGTTGTGGCTGACATGGAAGCAATTTATAAATAAAATTGATAATGATCAGCTTTTTTCAGAAGAGTATTTTGCCATAACTTTCCTTCTGTCACAGCACTCGCATTTGTTGTTCTCAAATTTTATTTAAAAAATAATAAATTCAAATTTAAAGCAAATTTTCCACCACCATCAACTCTGCTCTCTGAGAAAGCTAATCCAGATATTTTACTGCCATCTGCTGGTATACACCAAGAAAAACAACCACCAATAATGTTTCCAAAACTCAACGCATTGTTAATTTAGAAGGTAAGAATATTTGTCATCAACTCATTATACACTAAAATCAGTCTTCATGGAGTCATAGTTTCATGGCTTGACATGTCCTGTAGGATATCATCTCTTTGGTATTTTTCTAACGTGACAGGCTGGTTTCAGTGTGACAGACTGACTGTTAACTGCACTTTTTCCTGTGTGTCTTGTTGCTTGAGTCACCATGAATGTAAAAATAGATGTTTTGCAAAAGAAGAAGTTGGTGTGGTCAGAAAGATTTCAGATTGCCAAATTGTGAGAGTTTTTATACCACTACTCATCTCTTGGTTTCTTCACTTGCAAAACTCAAAACTACTGGTTGGAATTAGATGTTATGTAAGCTATGTAACTTTGTAGTATGTGACTTTTCTTTCAACTCAGTGAAGCAGAATTAGGTCTAGACTGTTTGAAGAGGTTCTCAAACCTGCTATTCTATGTTGTTTATAATTCTTTTATTTAGAGCAGCTTATTAAGACTGGCTATGTTTTTTTAGGTTTCAGACACTGTCTGCTGTAGGTAGTTGTGTAAGACTTTGTGTTACCAGCCGCACCTTTCCACGCCCCTTCGACAAGTGGTGATTACACCAAAGCCAGGCTCAGAGCTTTAAGCAGGTTGACAGTGGTAATGGGGTTAGACTCTACAGCGGAGCTCAAGTGTCAGGTCATACCGAAACATGTTGGGAACAGCCTTTTTACTTCTTAATGGACTGCTTATACTTCTACTTCTTTACACCACTCGCAGAAGGTAAAACTTTTATTTGTTGATTTTCCTACCTTTTCTTTCTTAAAGTTTACCAAGCATCACTTTTAATCTGAAGGCAAAATATATATATATTTTTATTTCTCTAAGCTTTCATTGTTAGAGGTCACTGATGCTGTTTAAATCTAAAATTGTTTTCTGTATTTATGAATATATTAAAAAGCTGTAAAATAACAAAAACTCGCAGCACACAGTTTTATTCGCAAACACAAAGTTAGACTGAAACTCAACACTTTTATTCATTTTTACCCAGATGCCAAAATGTTGTTTTATTTTTTTTCATTCATGAGCACTTCCTTTTCCAAGATTTTATGCAAACTTAA